GGATCAAAAATTGATCTAGATCCCATACTCTTCGTTATGATGTATCAAATACTTTATGGCTGCTTAGACAAGACAGAAAACAAACCAGCATTTTACTGGTCCCGACAATATTGCCTGGACAGATTTTCTGGCAATTTTGATCAAGGGCGTAGCCCGGGCCCTAATCCCCCCCCCCCTCCCAACTATGCTGCATTTGGCTTCATGATGACAGAGCACACCCCCTTGAAGGATACCTAAATGAACCCTTGACCCTGCGCATGCAATTTTTCTAGCTATACGCTGCGCTGACGCTGAGGACCGTGATGGAATGACTGAACTTAGAATAGGAAAAAGTACTCAGTGGGGATTTCTTACCTAAATCAGGGATGGAGCTGGAGGGTTCTTCGTGGGGTTGATGCTGCTTGATGTGGACCCTTGCAGGAGGCGGGGGTGGCGGCGGCGGGGGGCGCATTATGACCGCGGACCCCCCGGGGGGCGAGCAAGTGGACGACGACACCAGCGGAGGTGCATTCGGAATCCGAAAATCCCCATTACTACCACCGTTGGTAATGACCGACCCGTTCATGCGACCGTGGTGGTTGTGGTTACTCGATTGCGGAGTGATATGGGCACTACTCGGCGAGTGGTGGATCACGCGGATCATCTCACTGTTGGACGATGTCACCGATGACGAAGTCATTGTCGGTTGCACTTCTTGCTTGATTTCACAGATCCGAAACATCGGCACGTTTTCCTCTTTGATATCGCGAATGACCGGAACCATTATCGAGTGAGCCAGACTGACAACCGTTGCATACTACACCAAAACAGAGCCCGGCCCGCAAATCAGCCAAAACGCTACGCTAAAATCAGAGACGCACACAACACTCGCAAATAAACCGAATAAGACGAAACCGAACGATCCATACTAGCTTGAAAGGGTCAAGCAGAAAGTTGTATTGCACTGATCGACGAGTGGTAGCACCAAAACAAAATCGAAACGAAGGAGTGAATCTGGTTTCTGATCGCGAGGTAATCACTTTCACTAGGACCGGGTCGGTGGAGTAAAAGTAATCCAAATTCCAGGCACTGCACACGTAAATCCGTTGGGTTTCACGAAAATGTTGGGTTGTAGAACGATGAGAACTTTGTCAAATCCAAATTTGATCGAAGCACAAATGATAATAAGTGGGTAGATCCGAGAAGTTTAAAAATAAATTGCACTTGGTTACACTAATTTAGGTTCAACGTTAATGATTAATAATTACGATAATAAAAATATTACGAAACTGAAGGGGATTAATTAAGCACGCGATTAGCACGGGGTAAGTAAATATTGATATAAAAAACGATAACAAAAGTTAAATCCAGGAAGGCGATGATAATAGCACAGTTTTCTTATCACTGAATGGAAATGTAAATAAACAAAATCAAATGCTCACTTGGCGGGGTTGGATATTTAATAAAACTAGATCGTAACGGGATTACGACAATTTTAATAAATGCGTACGATGGTAAAAAATCACGGAGGACAAAAATATTATCACCGGAATTATCACTGACGAGGATCGGCGAAACAGCGGCGAGCAGAATATCCAAGCGAGATTCGATTTGAAGTCAAGAACAGACCAAACACAACACCGAATTTGAGAGAAAAGCACTGTGGAGTCGACGAGGGATCTATTGATTGGTTATAAAAGTGTAAAAGAGTCGACGAGACAACAAACTGGGCCGGGAGAAAAAATGAAAACAACGTGCGGCAACCCACTGCCTTCTCCAAAACGTTGCTGTGTTGAGACTGAGGGCAGTTGAATTTCAGCATACTCAGAAAGAGGCAGTGTTGGCCTTGTCCTTGAATACGGCCCATGAACTCGCGCCAGCCGCTGGGTCGCAGAGGGGACCTAGGAGAGGGGAACCTCTGCACTTGCGCTAACGCAATTCGAAAGTAGAAACAAGGCCACTAAACTCTCTCCCTCTCTCTCGCTCCCTCTGCCTCCCTCTCTCCCTCCCTCTATTATGTTACTGGTCTTTCGCCGTCCCGCTCCCGCGCTGCTCCAAGCTGCGTTTTCTGTCGCACCGCGCGTGCTGCTCCCCCGAATGACGCGTGCAAAATCAAAAGACTTATGCCTTCATTTTTTCTTTCCTGGCCCCGCAAATGTCCTCGCTGGAATTTTTTTCTCCCAGATGATACACAGATGTTTTTCTTCTTTTTTGTCTCTTGTTTTCATTTTTTATGCGTCTCATTTTTAATTAAGTGTCTGTTCTTTTTTATTTTATTCGTTTTGCTTGTTCGTTAAAGATTCTGAGCAACCCTTAACATTGTTGAACATAAAAGAGACTCATAATATGCGTTAGAAGGGAAGGTGATATATAATGAAGAGTTGTTGGACTTCCATAGTTTATTTGTTTTCATTTAAAAAAAAAAAAAAAAAAAAAAAAAAAAAAAAAAAAAACCGTCTCCTTTGACGCAATACTCTACTCAATTTTCAGTTTTGCTAAATCGGCTTATTCGACCCTCCTCTCCCTCCACACTAGAAACATCTATGGACCTCATCGTTTACTTTTCTGAATGTTAACTTAATGATTAGTGGCAAATATGAGATAAGAAGTAAGAAAATATGAGTGGTCCAAACATTTTTTTTTTTATTTTAAAATGAAAGAGAGGCTAATAGGACGAAAGAGAGAACCAAAAAAAATCCATTAAAGAAAATATTAAACTAAAATAAAAGCACGAAAAGGAATCATCTTTGATGGTTAATACGACAAAAGTTTCCAATTAAAACAAGCAGGAAGCTCCAACGCATTCGCGTCGGAGAGCGGCTCTGGCGACAGTAGTTGTAGTCATGAGGACCTAGACACATTTTGTCACTGATGTACAATCCGACAACTGTCGATTCATGTTTTGTAACTTAGCAGATTTACGTAGCCGGTGTATAAATGTGTATTGGCCCTTGATATGCAGAATGCATGGCACTATCACTTGTTGTATACTTTTAATTTTGAAGGCTCTTTGGAGGTCCGCATCCTAAAAAATTTCTCCCACAGTATTTTTTTTAACTTGTCGTTGTGATTGGGCGCCAATTTCTTTCAATTGAGTGATCATCTTCTTTTTTTGTCAAATAACTAGTTTGTGCAACAATAAGACTGAAACTGACTGTAACTGAAATTTTGCCGTCTGCCCACGTAGCAAATGGGAGGCGAAAATGGAAGTCATCAGTGCATCGGTGAGTGTTGAACGTGAAAATTGCGCGGGCCGCGCATCCATCATTTTCTATCTTGTTTTGAAGCTATGTGAGTTGTGATAAAGTACATAATTTTTTTGTATTATATTACTGTATAAATAGTGTAAAATTTGTACAGAACTTTGTACAAAATAGTTTCTTGTAAAAAGTGTGGACTACTGCCACGTCGTTTCCATACAAACTCCCAATACGCCGCAAGTACCACAAATGCCCATGTTAACCAAATCACCTCATCATCCATTTTTTAAGGACACAATTTTTAATTCAAATCAACTTACTTTATCAAAACTCCAATCGTTTATCAAATAACATATATCGAGTCATTTTAACAAAATCAAAGACGGCATAATATCATTTATCACACAGCCAAAAACCTAACCTAGAAACCACGAATTTTACAAACTCAAATTGGAGAACACTCATTGGTCAAATAATAAAAATTGATTTGTCGCCTTTTTTCTTTGCAAGCAAAACGTGTGAACATGTCTGAAAATGGGATCGGGCGTCAACACTCAACGATGCACTGATGACTTCCATTTTCGCCTCCCATTTGCTACGTGGGCAGACGGCATTAGACGTTTACGGTTTCCTTGGTAACCTTTGTTTGCTATCAGCTGATATTGAGTAATATGACTAGGAAGCTCCAACCCAGTGGTTTGAGCTTCCTTAACCGCGAAAACTTTCAAATTCAAATTTTCAAATTTTGAACGGAAAGTACATTTTTTCCATCACGAGATTAAAGCACAGACAAGTTTTGAATTATTGACTGTATCACCATGATTCCAAAAATACACTACACAACATAGCATTGGCTAACAATAAAACAATATGCAATAAAATAAAGTCATGACAAGGAACATAGCCGAAAATGGCGCCGATTCCCATTAACCAACGCGCGGTCTCTCCAATGTAACAATGTGTCAATTGATTAATAATTTGATACCTAATAGAAGTATGTTTTGTGATGTTTGTTGGGGTATGTGTGGCAGGAAAGGGCTATAGAACTAGGGAATCAACAATAGGATACTATTTAGTTCAAGTGATTTCAGCTCTAGTGCAAGCACCAGAGCCGCTAAAAATGCATTGGCAAGCGTTACGTGACGCGTTGAAACTCTTCCCCTGTAACGTACGGGTGACATAAGCTCAGGTCCCGCTTTCCGTTACGTATTTTACGAGGCGCCCTTATCTAAATAGTCCCGGGCATCGGCCAATTTTCTATTACTCTCTCGGGGCATGCTGGGTATTTTTCTTTTTTCTTTTTTTAAGGTGTTTCAGCAGCCGGATACGAAATTCCGAGTTTACATTGACCTAACTTTACCCTCTGCTTACCTAATTCTGACCTTCATTTGGAGAAAATCACACAAGATGAGCATCCAAACATCTCGCAAAAAATGAGGGGGAAAAGAAGAAGAAAAAAACAGGTTAACACGCCGCTCCACGCCAAACGTCCTGATCAGACCTTCGATCCTCCTGGAGTAATCGTGACATCTGAAAGTGATACCACTATTCGATCACGTGGGAGCTCGGGTTGCATACACTGATGAGTGAAGGCAAACTGACAATGAGGTAAAGTCACCGCTCCCTGCTTTATCATTATCCCTGCTTTCTTCCTGTTGCAATCGTGACATCTGAGTGTGTTGCCACTATTCGGCCATTTGAGAGCTCGGGTCCCCTGCACTTAAGACTGAAGACAAACTGATAAGGAGCGAAAGTCAGATTTACGAAGTTTTTCAAAGTTTTCCCGGATGATAAGACATTCCTCGATAATTCTCAATTTTTCAGGTTTCTAGATGCATTTCGATGTATTTTAGATGCATTTCTTGTCAAAATGTACGTCTTTTATTTTTAAAAAGTATCAACAGAGCCCCTGTAGCCTGGCACTCTGTCTTCCTGTGGGTATGAAGTGCCCCCAGGAGTGCGACCATCGAAATGTATAAGATGTAAAGAGAATCACTGCTGACGAAAGACAACGAGAGAACTCGCGAAATTCTTTCTTAATCCTCCATTTTATTTTTAGTAAACAAAGGGACGGAAAATCACTGCCTCTACGTAAAATGTTGTATGAAAGACTAAATTTTTGTAGGTTCTCCGGATGGGTCCTTCTTTAGCGCTGAGGTGCCCCTGAAATCTCCCCTCACGGGGGTTTCCTGAATCGATATCGCATCACCAGAATTCATAAATTCATAAATCTGGGCACTACACATAAGAATTTATTCGATAAAATGGATTAGTTGCTCGGGATACAGTAACTTTTTGAATATTGTAGGTTGCTCTTTGAAATGGGTTATAGGCTAACATAAATTGGTATGATCCAACTAAGTACTAAATAAAGGGAAGAAGCTAAATGCACAGTTTAACGCCTTATATTTTACCGGAAAAAGTGCTGAGATATCGATCGTTCAGACTGCATTCTGAAATAAAGAACTTTAGCTCATCCATAAAAACATCTAACTGCTTAGGAAAATTAATGACACAGACGTCACGTCGTCCCAGATTGTAGCCAAAGGACGAAATGGACATCATTTTGCAATGCAATTTTTGCAGGACTGCTGCTTCTATTTCATCGTGGCGACGACGCATGTGACATTGGCCTCCCTGTGCAGTTAGGAACTTTTCAAGATGACCCAGAAATAGTGATCCCTAAATGCAAAATGAAGTACAAATTAAGCCTTTGCTCCCTCAAACAGATAAAGGTACGTCAGTCCAACTATACATCTGTTTTTCTCCAAAACACGAAAACATTTTCTCCTCCGACCAATAATCAACGCTCTAATTTGGAGGAGGACTCTTAAAGTTGAAATGACAGTGCTGCATGTATGTATGTATATTCACAGCGTGGGTTCCGCAAGTTTTTCACTTTCGATCTAGGTGTGAATATCAACGCCACGCTCTTCAGTCAGTTAAAATTTCCAGTACGTCACCAGTATCTCTATTCTCATGTGAAGACCATAAAATGAAATGTCAAGAGTCAGATTCTAAACAAAGGTGCTGGGGAATTTTTAGCCCGCAGCTGTCAGTGAAACACGGCAAAAATTGCTCTAATCCTCACTTTCTGCCACCATGAATCTGACACCTCGCTAAAATTATATTCTCACCGGATTCCACACTAACTTGAACCATTTACGAAGGCGAGCCCCACATCTTTTAATGTTTTTACGCGCCTCCATTAAAGCGCGCGAGAAGGAGAAACGTATAACAAAAAATGATAATAAAAAAATTAAACAATGAATGACTTTCTCGTCCGTCAGAAAAGTGAACTTGAAGCGCAAGCTCGAGTGGCGCGACCGGCGAAGGAGAAAAAAAGAAAAAGTTGGCCAAAAAACCAAAGCTCGCAGCTTAAAGATGGCTGTGGGAATAAGTGGGCCTGGAGGGCCTAAGTGTGTGATACAGCGGAGGTGAAAGAACGGGCGAGGGAGGGGGAGGGGGGGAGTGGGGGCCTGCAACCGTTGATAGCTGCTAAATAGTGATTACGTGAAGACAGCTACTTTTACGAGCACATCATTTACCTTGAGAAATTAGTTAACAGTTGGCATCACTCTTACTCCGCTCCGCTG